AGGTTCGAGATCGAGGTTTCGAGCGGAGTATAAAAGCCGGATGCGGCGGTATATCTTCCATTCAGTACGCTGTCTTGAGTCTTATCTAAACGCGCTGTTATCATATTTGATTTTTTAAAAAAGGGGTGTTGAAACGTCTTCAATAAAGGTGAGTTTTAAAAAATATGGCGTGTCGCATATCAAATTAAACGTCTTGTAATAAGATAGTGGGTTTCATTGATATTTTTTCATTTGTTCGCGATCGATGATATGCTTGCCCCGTAGTAGGTAGAAAGCACCCACTATCTTTTCGTTTTACTCACTTTCAAAATTTTTTGTCTTATACTTTTTGTGAGAATATACGCCCTATTTTCTTAATCAAACACATCTTAATCACGTGACCTCTTTTCAGGCTCAAAATTATATCTCACCGACACCGGTTACCTGAAAGGTAATAACTACGCGCCCCCGTGCGATCTTCTAGCCCGTTTATCTTTGAAGTGTTAAGATCACAGTTTTCTTCTTCTCGTACTCTACGCTATTCAAGATGTCTAAATTTTCGATCGTCAAAGACACAACCCGCATGGTCCGCCGCTTCAATTTGATGGGACGTACCTTGGAGTTTAAAATCAAGCCGGTGCCCGTCGGTGAAGAACCCGTAGGGTGGGTTAAAGAGGCTATCCAGCAGGCCGTAGCTAAAGGCGCCGAAGGTCTTAACCCCGAAGACCAGGTGTCTTTTTCGTTTTGTTCGAAGGACTTTGCCAGAGGTGATGGCTGGGTCCGTTTCAAACCAGCTAAAGAAGTTACCTACGACGACGTGTGGGACGTCATCTCCAGCGTCTATCAATCCAACTCCGCAGGGCTAAACACCGAGACGTTCTGTTTAGGCGTGACCTCCGTGAAGATGCCCGCAGGGAAAGGCCGTGGCGAAAAGTACAATACCTTCAACGAGGAGTGTGTCAAGCGTCGCGGTATCATCGTCATAAACAATAAAGACAATTTGTGTTTGCCGCGCGCCCTCGTCGTAGCAAAAGCCAACGTGGACAAGGACACAGAGTATAGAAAAGTTCGTAGAGATATCGGAAAGCTGCAGACTCTGCGGGCCAACGAATTATTACAGGCCGCCAATGTCGCCATTCCCGAAGAAGGTTGCGGTATCCCCGAACTACAAGAGTTCCAGCGCTATCTCACCGACTACCGCATCGTCGTGTACCAGTACGGTACCAAAGGCCGCGACGTGATATTTAAGGGTACCACAGAGGGCATCTCGTTAAATTTGATTTACCACGAGGGCCACTATAATGTTATCACGTCACTAACGTCGGCCTTCTGCTGTGATTATTACTGCGAGAGGTGCCAAGTGCCATATAATACTAAAAAAGATCACAGGTGTGGAGGTACCTGCCCTGCGTGCCAGAAGTCGCCCGCATGCCCGGAAGACATTGCCGTTACCTGTTCCGACTGTCAGCGTAGCTTCAGAGGCCGGCAATGCTACGACAATCATAGGAGCCAAGGATCAACGGAAAAGAGCTCGGTTTGCGAGCAGATTCGCCGTTGCCCCGACTGTCTCAAGGTGGTGATAAGGGGCAGAACCCATATCTGCGGGGAGATATATTGCAAGATATGCAACGTGCACGTCCCCGCAGACCACTTGTGCTACATGCAACCCAACACAGGGAAGCCGAAGACCACCGATCTTCTGTTCGTCTTCTACGATTTGGAGACGCGACAAGAAACAGCGAGGCCGGACGGATCACACCTGCACGAGCCTAATCTCTGCGTAGCGGCCAGCAGGTGTGACGGATGTATTGGCGAGAAAAACTTATATTTCTGCCAAAAGTGCGGATACCGCTTAGTCGTGTACAAGGAAGCAATTATAGACAATTTTCTAAAGTATGTGCTCGCTGCTAGACAGAAATTTAAACAGGTGGTGGTTATGGCTCACAACGGACAGGCCTTCGACCACCAGTTCTGCCTGAATTACATCCTGACACAGACGGACCTCACCCCCGAACTCATCATGCGGGGTACCAAAATAATTTCCATGGTCGTGGGGAACGTAAAGTTCCTGGACAGTCTCAACTACTTTCCCATGGCACTGTCCAAGTTGCCCAAGGCTTTCGGCTTGGGCGATAATTTCAAGAAAGGCTATTTCCCCCATCTTTTCAACACTGCAACCAACCAAAATTACGTGGGCCCCCTACCCGCCGCCGAATACTATGACCCCGATAATATGAAACCGGAAGAGCGCTCCAAGTTCCTAGAGTGGTACGAGGGCCACAAGGACGACGAGTTTAACATGCAGAGGGACCTCGTTGAATATTGTATATCGGACGTGGAGATCCTGACGGCCGCATGTCTCAAGTTCCGACAGCAGCTGTTGGAAACGGGAAACGTCTGCCCGTACACGGAAGCCTGTACCATAGCCTCTGCCTGCAATAAGGTGTATAGGCGCAATTTCCTACAGCCAAACACCATTGGTATCATCCCCAAAGGCGGCTACAGATGGCGCGACAACCAAAGCAAGATAGCCATCCAATGGTTGGTATGGGAGGAACACACCAGAGGCCTCAACATTTCTCATGCTGCCAAAGAGAAAGAAGCACGAGTCGCAGGGNAAAAAAAATTACAAAAACTTACCAGTTTGGCTAAGGGAAAGCGGCAAACGGGTCCAGAGGGCGGCTGCAGAGGCAGGTAATGGGGTGGGGGCGGTTCTTTGATAGCCATAGGGGGGCCTCACAATAATTAGTTGGAAGCCCCCGGCAACTCAATTCCACAAAAATATGTTCGCACGTATGCGCACAAACGAAAGCGTTATCTATACATACCCCTTGAAGGCGACAACCCTTATCTTATTAGGACTGGTATTACAGACGCCAAGGGTTGTACTCTCCCGCATGAAAGCGGTACCTGTCACGCTAACGTGAGGAAGAAAGTCGACCACCAGCCCAAATTCCCATCTTCTTAGCTTCGCAAGCACCACCTCCGTACACCTCAACAGATCAGCGAAGAATGAACAAGTACCGACATGTCTCAGCTAGTTAGCAACTTACTACGCACATAAGGTGTCACGTGTTTTACGTCAGGTTATCACGTTTTACGTCATGCTATTATCACATTTGAAATAATTATAGTTTTAAAAAAGGTGTTGAAACCTCTTCAGTAAAGGTGAGTTTTTTAAAAATATGGCGTGTCGCATATCAAATTAAACGTCTTGCAGTAAGATAGTGGGTCTCATCGAATTTTTTCTTTTGTTCGGATTAATGATATGCTTGCCCAGTAGGTAGAAAGCGCTCACTATCTTTTCGTTTTACTCACATTCGAAATTTTTTATTTTTCTCGTATACTTTGAAATTTTTGTGTGAATCACGCCCTATTTTTAAATCAAACACATCTTAATCACGTGACCTCTTTTCATGCATCACTTACCGGCACTAGTTACATGAAAGGTAATAACTACGCGTCCCCTACGGTCTTCTAGTCAGTTTATCTTCGATCTTTGAAGTGTTAAGATCACAGTTAGTCTTCTCTCGTGCTCGACGCTATTCAATCAACTTGTAAGTTTTTCAAATTTACTTTCGGTAGGAAGCGTTTATCAGCTTTTGGTATCTTTCAGACTACCACCACTGCAAGATGTCTAAATTTTTCATACTTAGAGATACTATAAAGAAGGTCCGCCGCTTCAATTTACAAGGGCGAACCTTGGAGTTTAAAATTAAGGCGGTACCCGTCGGTGAAGAACCTGTTGGATGGGTCAAGGAAGCCGTCATCCAAATAATTCAACAGGGAACCGAACACCTTAACCCCGAAGACCAGGTGTCTTTTTCGTTTTGCTCCAGGGATTTCGCCAGAGGTGATGGCTGGGTCCGCTTCAAATCCGCTAAAGAAGTTACCTACGACGACGTGTGGGGCGTCATCTCCAGCGTCTACCAGTCAAACTCCGCAGGGCTAAACACCGAGACGTTCTGTCTGGGCGTGACCTCTGTGAAGATGCCTGTCGGGAAAGGCCGTGGCGAAAAGTACAACACCTTCGAAGAAGAATGTGCTTTAAGGAAAGGAATTGTGAAAATAGACAATAGAGACAATTTGTGTTTACCCCGCGCTCTAGTAGTCGCCAAGGCTCATGTGGACAAAGACAGTGAATATGTGAAGGTGCGGAAAAGTACAGGAAAAATTCAGACAGAAAGGGCTTTGGAACTTTGTCGAAATGCAAATGTGTCGATTCCTGAAGGGGGCGCAGGTATTCACGAACTACAAGAGTTCCAGCGATATCTCTCTGACCACCGCATCGTCGTGTACCAGTACGGTACTAAAGTCCGCGACGTGATATTTAAGGGCTGCACAGAGAGCCCCTCGTTAAATTTAATGTATCACGAGGGACACTATAACGTTATCACGTCACTAACGGCGGCCTTCTGTTGCCATTATTATTGCGAGAGGTGCCAGGTCCCATATAATACTAAAAACAAACACAGGTGTGGCGGCACATGTCCGGCGTGCCAGCAGTCGCCAGCATGCCCCGAAGACATTGCCGTTATCTGTTCCGACTGTCAGCGTAGCTTTAGAGGCCGGTAATGCTACGACAATCATAGGAACCAAGGATCAACGGAAAAGAGCTCGGTTTGCGAGCAGATTCGCCGTTGCCCCGACTGTCTCAAGGTGGTAAAAAAGGGCAGAACCCATGTCTGCGGGGAGATATATTGCAAGATATGCAACGCCCTCTTGTGCGCAGACCACCTGTGTTACATGCAGCCCAACACAGGGAAGCCGAAGACAGCTGACCTTCTCTTTATTTTCTACGACTTAGAGACCCGACAAGAGACAGCGAGGCCGGACGGGTCCCTCCTACATGAACCAAATCTCTGTTTATTCAAGCAATGCTGCGGCACATGCCTCAACACGCCGCAGAAAATCTGTAGTAAATGCGGGGTTAGACTGCAGATTTTAAGGTGCAATGACCCCATTTCGCCGTTCCTCCACCACCTCATGACCATGAGGAAAAATTCAAGCAGGTGGTGGTTATGGCTCACAACGGGCAGGCCTTCGACCACCAGTTCTGCCTCAACTACATCCTGACGCAGACGGACCTCACCCCCGAACTCATCATGCGAGGGACGAAAATAATTTCCATGGTCGTGGGGAACGTAAAGTTCCTGGACAGTCTAAATTATTTCCCCATGGCGCTGTCCAAGTTGCCCAAGGCTTTCGGCTTGGGCGATAATTTCAAGAAAGGCTACTTCCCCCATATTTTCAACACTCCAGCCAACGCAAATTACGTGGGTCCCCTACCAGCCGCCGAATACTATGACCCCGATAATATGAAGCCGGAAGAGAGCTCCAAGTTCCTCGAGTGGCACGAGGAACATAAAAACGACGAGTTTAACATGCAGAGGGACCTCGTCGAATATTGTATATCGGACTTAGAGATCCTAACGGCAGCATGTCTCAAGTTCCGGGAACAGCTGATGGAAACGGGAAACGTCTGCCCGTACACGGAAGCCTGCACCATAACCTCTGCGTGCAATAAGGTGTACAGGCGCAACTTACTCAAGCCAAACACCATCGGCATCATCCCCAAAGGCGGCTACAGATGGCGTGACAATCAAAGCAAGGTAGCTATCCAATGGCTTGTGTGGGAGGAACACCAGCGACAAATAAATATCCAACACGCTGCTAAACAGCAAGAATCTCGAGTCGCGGGTGTAAAAGTCGATGGGTATGCCGCAGAGAGCAATCAGGTGTTTGAGTTCCACGGCTGCTACTATCACGGCTGCCCCGCGTGTTACAAGCACAATCGAGACGTGCCTATGCCTGATGATCCTTCTCAGACATTAAACACTCCCCACGAAACCACCCTTGCAAAGATACAAAGACTTCGAGACCTTGGTTACGAGGTCGTTGAGATGTGGGAGTGTACGTTTAGAAGATTAATGGCGCAAGACAGACAAATCGAAGACTACACTACCAATCACCCCTTAGTTACGCTGACACCGCTAAACCCCAGAAACGCATTCTACGGAGGACGTACAGGTAATACTTTCGAGTATTACAAGTGCGGCCCAGGGGAGAAAATCAAATACGTTGACGTCTGCTCTCTCTACCTCTGGGTCTGCAAATACGGCAAGTTCCCCGTAGGACACCCCAAGGTGTATGTGGGTGAGGAATGCCCTACAGATCTTCATAATGTAAACGGGGTAATTAAATGCAAGATCCTCCCACCCCAGAATCTCTACCACCCCGTGCTCTCGGCCAAGATGAACAACAAGCTCATGTTTGTTCTCTGTCGCACCTGCGGAGAACACATGAATAAGGGCGAGTGTCGGCATAGCAACGAAGAGCGAGCTCCGACAGGGACATGGGTGGTGGACGAGGTGTTGAAAGCCGTTGAAAAAGCTTATCGCCTGCTGACGATCCACGAGATCTGGAGCTACGACGTTCAGCAGTACGATAAGGTCACAAAGATCGGAGGTCTCTTCACGGGGATGATGAACAAGTTCATCTCCGTGAAACAGCAGGCGTCAGGGTGGCCTGCGCACTGCTCAAGCCAGTCAGACAAGGAGAGATATATTGAGCAGTTCCTCGAGAGGGAAGACGTCAGACTGGAGTTTGCGGAGATCGTGGAGAACCCCGGGCTACGATCTCTCGCAAAACTCATCTTGAACAGCTTTTGGGGGAAATTTGGACAGAGGGAGAACCAGCCCAAAACATCCATCGTGAGAAACCCCGCGGAATTCTTCGGCATGCTTACCAATCCTAGCATCTACGTTAATTCGGCGCTCCCGATCAACGAAGACACTCTCGTCGTCAATTGGGAGCACAAGTAGGAGGCCTACGACCCACTCACAACCGTAAACGTTGTCATCGCAGCGTACGTCACCACTCAAGCCCGTCATAAGCTGTACAGCTACCTGGAACAATTGGACGACAGGGTCCTGTACTATGACACAGACTCTGTAATTTACGTGGCTAAAGACGGAGAGTACGACGTACCAACGGGTGAATTCTTTGGCGACATGACGGACGAACTGGAAGGATACGGACCCGGAAGTTACATATCCGAGTTTATAAGCGGAGGGCCCAAGAACTACGCATATAAGGTCTTCTCCACCAAGGATAACGAGGAGAAGGTCGTCTGTAAAGTTAAGGGTATATCCTTTAACTACTCAGCCTCACGACTGGTATATTTCAACACCATAAAAGATATGGTGTTGGATACTTCCACCACCAGCCCGGTATGCGTCCGAAACATCTTGAGGACCAAGGAGCACGAGGTGATAACCGTACAGCAAACCAAGCTGTATAAACCTCTCTCCGTAAAGAGACGGTTCCTGGACGACCACAGCTCGGTGCCCTACGGATGGAAAAGACCCAGACATGAATAATTATCAGCCTGTTATCTATGTGACTTGTCTGTAACATTCTCTATATAACTAACTTGTATTGTAATTTAAAATAAAAAAATTAATTTTATCACTGCTTTTAATTTTCCTCGGAATTGTGTGTGTGTGTTTGAGATACTAATAGTAGAGAGAGTTGAAAAACATTTCTCAATCAAATTAAATCAATCACGTCTTTCAAGTTAATATTGTAAAAGGTGGAAAAGAAAGAGTAGCATAATTCGATTTTATTAAGGATATATGTACATAACATTACATTTCACCGTAATTTTTACATTTGCATTTTTTTAATAAAATTCTCTGAGGCTTTAAATGCTGGAAACGTTCACGTTCTTTCACATGGTCTAGAAGGGCTGCAGCATGTCCTCTTCTACGATGCGTTCCAGCGTATAAATGTAGTTCAACGTCTTTGGATTTGAATGCTTGCTGAAGGGGTCAAAGTTCATTTTAGACAGCAAGGCAAACGATACAGGTTTTTCGTCTTCATAATGTATATAACATGAAGGCTGTTTATCCAAGTACCATTGATTAATTAATACATCGTCGCGAATATTTAGCTTCCTTATCTCTCTCAAGGCTCTTGCTTTAAAGTAGAACGCTGTTTTCATTTTTACGATTTGTCACTACCAAGAACAAGACAAGAATGAGACGCTTGCTCAAGGTATTCTTATTATGTAGAAGGGGGTAAGAAATTAAATTGCGCTCGTATTTTAATCTATTTCTAGCATTTTATTAACGTCATTTACAAAAATTTCAATCGGTGTATTTACTAGTTTAAAATCATTGTATTTACATGTAATATACGGTATTTCGTCCTTGATGCGATTAAAAAGGCTTATACTGTTGGGGTTATACTCTAAATCTGCCACAACGCGCGCTTTCGGGTGCTTCTTCTGTAGCCTCTTCAAGGATTGCGGGAAACGCCTTCTCTGTGTTCTAATGATATAGTACGGATACTCGGTTGATTGATTTTTCTGTATTATAGCAAACATGTGTCGTTTGTTCGGGTTAACGACCTTTGGACTTATATCTTCAACGTAATTTTCCAACTTCTCATTCCGGGTTTTTAATTCGTGCAACTTGGACATTAGAGCTTCATTATCGTGTTGGTAGTTGGTCTTGAATTCGTTAACGAAATATTCCTTTACTATTCTGTAGCATCTATCATAAAAACTCTTGGAAATCCAGCAAGCAATATCCAACAGTAACTCTTCTCTCACATACGTTCCAGAAATAATCGTATTGTACACGGGGTTCTTATTGCCTTTTACCGTGTAGGAGGGGTCAGAGGATGTCGCTGGAGAATCCGAGGCATCACTTTCCGATGCATAATATCGCATAAGTTCTTTCGATCTTTTATTACGTAGCCAGTTATCAAATCTTCGGTTGCCGTCCTGGCATAGCTTTGTAGCGTTAAAGTAGCCTGTGTTCTTATCAACGACAATCTTAAAATCTCCATATAAACCGTACCAGTACTGGTCCTGGATTTGCTCAAAGCAAACATCTCTTAAACTTGACATTTTGAGCACGTCTGAACACTTTGAATGTTAGATGAAAAATGATTACTGTTGTTACTACACCGCTATTTATCATTCAGAAAAATGTCGGACAATATCCTTTAGTAAAATCAGTTCACACATAAAGAACTCCTTCTCCACACGATAACTTTCTAAAGCCTGATGAACAGTTGTCTCTGTCTCCCTTGCACTTGAAACTCTGGTTAGGTCTACGTAAAAGAACAAGTCAAAGTTGGCTCTATAATTGTTGAACTCCTTAAACCTTCTCTCAGGATCTTTAGTGTATCCCACTTTATATACATTTCTTGCTCCATACTTCATGGTTGTTGCTATGTAAACGTATCCCTCTCCCGTTCTCGGTAGTTGCATCCATCGAATAACTTCTTCAAGCATTGTAGGATGTAAATACGTTCCAGAAATAATGTCATATTGATTTCCATGTATATAGTATGAGCTCGGATACTTTTCTCCCCGAGCGCTTTCTGATACAAAATACCGCATAAGTTCTTTCGATCTTTTATTACGTAGCCAATATTTAAAATCTTCGACCGCCATCCTGGCATAGCTTTGTAGCATTAAAGTAGCCGGTGACCATTTCGATGATAATCTTAAAATCTCTATATAAACGGTACCAGTATTGACCTTGGATTTGCTCAAAGCAAACATCTCGTAGACTTGTCATTTTGAGATTATGTTAAAAACCACGTTTGAACACTTTAAGAGTCAGATGAAGAATAATTACAGACACTGTGATGACAATATTTATTTTTTTCTTAGCTCGATGCCTGAAGACCACTCCGCCGATGACTGAAGACAACGATTGCGCAGGCGCTTCTGATGGCGTAACAGCTCAATACCTGAAGACCTAACGTTAGGATGATGGGAGACGATAACGCAGACAGCTAATAATACTACTGCTGGAGATTATTGGTAAGTTACTGAATTATTCCCATATCATGGAGCTTGTTGATAATGTCACTACAGACACGATGTTCTTTAGTCAAACCACACTCTTCGATATAATAACGTAAATCATTTACAAGTTCATTGGGGTCGACTCTAATATCTCTTTCTAGCATATCTTCGTTACTCTCACAATCTGTTTGTTCATCATCATTATCCATGTTTGACAATTGATCATTATTATTATTGAGAGGTCTGTATATATATTTTCTATTGCAGGTACTGTCCTCGTCATTGCAGTCGAGAGGTCTATATATATATATTTTCTATTGCAGGTATTGTTCTCATGTTTCGCAATTGTTTCGCTGCTTTCTCCATATGATGATGTCAAGTGTTTATCTGTATTAACGGTCTTTATGTGAGCGTTCAAGCTATCTTTCCTTGTAAAACGGTCGTTGCATAAATTACACTCAAATTTTTTATCTTTATGCCTGTTCGTATGACGACTTCAGCTGCTGCGACAGGTAAACGCAGCACTATAGATTTTACATTTAAACATGTCGGATGCTAAACATCAAATGAGCTATACCTATAGGTACATACCTTATAAGATATGCTGTATATATATTCAGTTGAACGTGACATAAAACAAACGGCTAACAACCGGCTAATAACCGGNAACCGGCTACCAACGGCTAACAACCGGCTAACAACCGGCTAACAACCGGCTACCAACCGGCTACCAACGGCTAACAATCGGCTAACAACCGGCTAAGAACGGTTAACAACCGGCTAACAACCGGCTACCAACGGCTAACAATCGGCTAACAACCGGCTAAGAACGGTTAACAACCGGCTAACAACCGGCTACCAACGGCTAACAATCGGCTAACAACCGGCTAAGAACGGTTAACAACCGGCTAACAACCGGCTACCAACGGCTAACAATCGGCTAACAACCGGCTAAGAACGGTTAACAACCGGCTAACAACCGGCTACCAACGGCTAACAATCGGCTAACAACCGGCTAAGAACGGTTAACAACCGGCTAACAACCGGCTACCAACGGCTAACAATCGGCTAACAACCGGCTAAGAACGGTTAACAACCGGCTAACAACCGGCTACCAACGGCTAACAATCGGCTAACAACCGGCTAAGAACGGTTAACAACCGGCTAACAACCGGCTACCAACGGCTAACAACCGGCTAACAACCGGCTACCAACCGGCTAACTTTACTTCGCGTGACGGTTATCCAGTTTTGCGTGTCGGTTATCCAGTTTCGCGTGACGGTTATCCAATTTCGCGTGACGGTTATCCAGATTTGCCTGACGGTTACACAGTTTCGCGTGACGGTTATCCAGTTTTGCGTGACGTTTATCCAGTTTCACGTGCAGGTTATCGTTTTATTATCCTCAATTACGTAACGATTTAGTATATCTATCTTTTCCCATTCCGGATACTGCCTTTTCATATGTCACTTGTAGTAGTATGTCTATCTTTTTCTGTTCTATATCTGCATAGCGGAAGTATTATCTGCAAGTAACTATTTTCACGGAGGGTGATAGAGCCGTACATGTATCCTGTGTTGATTAGCAGAGATGTTCCACGTAATTCTTATTATCTCAAATAGATCTTCTGAGTGTAGTTCGTGTGGAAACTGTTAAAGTTTGTCCTTATTACGTTTTTGCCTTAAAATATTTAAAATTATTATTATTAAAATTTTCAGGTAGTTCCAGGGAACTCGTGCTGAACGTACAGGAGGCTAGATACGCCGAGGTCAGGCCAGGTATGTGTACTTCTATAATCAGACTTTTGGACACTAAAATGATCTTTTTTTTTGTATTCGTACCTTTCCAGCGTTACTCTCAATTTGTATATATTTCTGTTTTTTTCAATGTGGTGTTGTTATTTGTTGTCTGAGTCCTCCCCAAGGGGTCGAAGTTGTTCCTAGGGTGTCATGTAATCTACCCTATTTAGCTCAATAGTGTCGTCTGTTGAATGATTTTATATTTGCGTTATATTCAATCAATTCCACGCCCGTCGTTATGGCCTTGTTTATACAAAATAATCCTCTGTCGGGTTTTTAAATCATTATTTTTCCTTTAAAATTCTCTATGTAGTTTTGAAGCTCGTTTTGATTTATTATTTAATATCAGATTTGTGAATGCTTACGATCAGTTATCCTGATTCTTTCAATTTTGACAAATTTCTTGATCGGTGATTATTCGGAGGTTTACACCTCTTTTATGAGCTTTTAAGATTTGATATTAATAATCTGCTTTAGTATTAGGGTATACATACACAAATACTTAATTTGGCACTAGATATGAAATTAATCAAAGTCTTCAGACGTACCTTTCCAGCAGGTATATTAAACTCTTTATATGATCACTAGCTCCAGAAAAATCTCCATCATTTTTTCATCTGTAATTATTCCTGGTCCCTAAGTATTCTTTTACACGTTCTTTCTAAACTAAAATAGGTTTATTAGACAGTGGTAAGCACTTATTAAGTACTAACGCAGTCCTCTTAAAATGATATGAGGCATTCTCAACCATTATCATCTTCATATCCTGTATTAAACACAAATTGACTTTTTAAGTATATAAACGTTAACCGGTGCCTCGTTTTGCTTCTCTTTTTTCTTTTAGTATTAAAATATTTAAAACAGTCACAATCTTTTCTATGATAGGATTGGGCATTAATAAATTTTCCACAAAAGTCTGTATTTTACTTTCGCGCACACACAAACGATTTAAGAAGCATAGTCTATTTTTGAATAGGATGAATACCTATATGCTTCTATATATTAATAACTATGACTATCTCTCCAACCCTTTTTGGAGTAGGAGCTAAATGTTTTTTTTAGTCTCTGTGATTCACTAATTTGTTTTTGTTATTTCTTACATTATTTAGCCTCTATGAGATTGTGGTAACCAACCCCTTTGGAGTAGGGGCTAAATGTTTTTTTTTAGTCTCTGTCGTTAACTAATTTGTTTTTGTTATATCTCTCTTTCTCTCTCTGTTTTTTTATCTTTGTTTTGTGGGCTTTCTTTGTTTTTCGTTCCATGTCCTTTGTATGCTCACTTTGTATTTTCGATACAACCGTTCCGTAGATGTAATTCATTGAATTCCCTGATATGAATCATATTCTCTTTTCTATATGTGAAATAATGAAACTTGAAACTTTTAATATGAAGACTAAATTTACACAGCTTTCCTCATTGAAATTGACGGGGAATACGTCTGGCTTTAATTCGAATAATCAACTAGTTTGCGCTTAATTTAAATTTTTGAAGCTTTACGAAGTAACCGTTATTAACGATTAATCCACTTTTGATTGTGTGTGTGTGTACCGCCAGCCTGTACAAATCTGCGTTAATTTTTGAATAAATTTACCACTTATTTCGCAAATATCCATACTGTTTGATAATGATTCCGAGTCGTAGAAAACCGTTGCCTGAATTAAAATCTCTACACCCCATAATACTTATAATTAGTACACATACTGAGATTTTTTTCTCATTCCATGCCTCTTCTCTAGGTACCTACAACCCTGGAGTTCAAGATCGCCTTAGAAACAGCAGCAGGCTATAGGACAGGGACATTCTACGGGCTAAGAATACACATGATTAGGTTTAAAACCGGTTTATAGTTAAGTAGGTGTACTTTTTCCTTAATACATAATATATTCCTCCGATACGTCTCTGCTTTGCACTTTTATAGACGATAAACTGCTATTATTTGAAGCGGTAGTTTTCTATCAATTGTAGTCCGACCTAAGGGGAATAATTTCTATTTCAATACAATTTAAAAAATAAAAGAATTTATCATTGGGCTTTAATATGAACTAAAGAAATATATATGAACATTTAAGACGAAGAAGGATTGACCCTTTCTGTTCTATTTTAACAAACATTCCTAAAGTAAATTCCAGTAAATATTTTTTAGCCATAGTCTGCAATACTTAAATATACAGGCATTTATGATTACATTACCGCGCTCCAGTTACAGCGCCATCTACGGACACCCGCTCGGCCGCGTTATAAACTACTATTGCGAAATGAAAATCGCGGCTACTGTCTATGTCACCGCTCGACCACGTTTGGGGCCCGCGGTGGCGAGCGAAGCCCTATACAATTTAGGTATACCTACGCGGGGTACACGCGGAGGCCTACGCACAATACTCTTGTCTACGTNTGCGACGGCAGTTGTGGTTACAGCACTGGCGGCGGCGGCAAACCCCTTGAATATTAAAATCGTTCAACAATTGTAAATAAACGAAAAAATTAAAAAATGCTTCTATTTATTAATTGTTGACAATCTAATTCTTTCCTTCTGTCTCCACTCCCTCCTTTGTGCTTTTGTCATCAGTGGTGGTATGTCCCGTATAACATTCAAATTTTCTATATTTGGTTTATAAGTGAGATAATTGTCACTATCCCAATCTAAAATAATGAAAAAACTGTAATTTCCTGTTCAATATAGTAAGTAAAACATACTTTCGGTCTCGGAGTCCTGAACGTAGGTGGGTGAATCGAAATTTTCGGCTGAAATATAAAATCGTATATCTTATATCTTAAAATATATGTTAATAGTATAAATCAAATAATATAATTATTATTCAAACAACATAAGTAATCAATAATAATGTTTTTAATTACGTACGTCTAGATAAAGAAATAAGTATTAAAACTTACTTTCTAGTTCTGGGTTTTTAGAAGCTCCGGGATTGGAAGAATTCCAATTTTCAATCGGATCTGAAATAATTAACAAAAGTTGCAATTAATTTTTAACACACAAATTAAAATAATTATAAATAATATTTAATACATAGATATACTTACTCTCTTTCAATTCCGCCTGCTTTTTACATTTTAAGATATGATGCCCCATCCGCGTACGTTTCACTAGGTGAGTTTTTACAAAAGGACACACTGCCAAGTCAGTATTCATTTTGTTAACTATTCGACAATGATTATTTTACAACAGTTTATATAATGCAGAAATTAATTATTGATTCCCACCTCTACTGCAGCCATTGTACAATGTAGTTTGCTTGAGAGCGTTGAGACCACATTCCATACATATTTCTATGTCTGCAAAAGCAACTTGCAGCGAAACAAAGAAACCGGTCTTGTAGCACCTGGTGATGCAGTTTATCGATGCAACATTCCATTCGAACAAAGAAACAGGTAAAGTAGCGTGGGTTACCACCTCCAACTGTTAGTCGGCGTGGGTACAAGTTCCACATTGCCTGTTAGTATAAATATCATACCCCGCCTTTACTGTTCAGTTTATATCTACAAGTTTACGCAGTGCAAACAATGGCAGACAATCCAAAAAACGTATTAAGTTTAAAACATCGCGAAAGTGATGACGAATTGACCGATGACGAATGGGTGCCATCGTTCGATCGGAGAGTGGACCAAAATTTTATTACCAACCGGGCCAACCAAGCAGTGCAGGAAATAATTATTTTGAGCGACACAGTTTCCTCCGACAGAACCATACGCCAGGATATATCAGTGTCTTCGTTGCAAACATCCATCGTCGAGGGGCCTTTGGCAGCCTCTCCGCAGAAAAAGCGTGCTGGGAGCCCGATTTTAGCGTCCAGCAGCACTTCGGTGGTACGCTCTAGCGACGAGGGACCTTCGGCAGCATCTCCTCCGAAAAAGCGTGCTACGACTCCGATCTTGGCATCTAGCAGCACTTCGATGGAGCGCTCCATCGACGAGGGAACTTCACCACAATTCCCAAAAAATCGTGTTGAAATCTTGGCCTCCAGCAGCACATTGATGGTACGCCCCGTCGACGATGAGGGTCCAACCTTCCGCCCAACGATCACATCAACTCCAGGACGAAATGACGGGCTGGATGATGTTGTTGAGTCGATACGGGCGAAAGCGGCCCTACAACACATCCAGCTTGAAGAGTTCAAAAACATCTGGTACGGCGATTTTAAACAGTACGTGAGGCGAAAAGAAGCCGAGGTTATTAACGAGGTGAGATTTAGAAGACAAACAGCTATGCAAAATTTAGAGAAAATTAACGACTATCGCAAAGTACTGGATGAAATCGCCGAGGAGTTGACGGTAGACATTAACAATATGAATGCCACCATGGCATATATGGATGGTTTTGCGGAAGGGTTACCAGAGAAGATGTTCAACTTACCGAGTAAGGCGAATAAATAAATTTTAGATAGATAATCAAACTTAATTATCAATAATTCATTCATTTTTAATTGTTAAAAGAAAAATTGAACTCTATATAAATTTAAAAGTCATATTTTGATAAATTTTTGATAGTAATTGCTTTTATATGTGTATAGTTTTGTATGTATTTAAATTTATTTATTTCTGTTACAGATGCTCCTCGACCCCGACCTCCCTCGGATTGACTGAACGTGATAGACTTTTTAATGTTAGTGTTAGTTTAAATTTAATATAGTTTTGTAAATATGTATATATCTGTATTATAAGTAAATTATTAAAATATCTGATTACCATTTACTTTCTTTTATTAACACATAATTTGGGTGCTTAAAAAGTTTAACAAAATAATTCACTAGCGAAAAGAACAATGTATTTTCATTGTTTATATATGACAATGTTCAGTAAAGAACTAAATTAAAGGTGATTTTATAAAGGATTTATTAAAAGTGACAAGACTTTTTTAGTTTTAATTTAAATTTAATTTAACTCGTTTGGTAAATATCTGTATATACCGCTATTATAAGCAAATTATTAAAATATCTGATTACCATTTACTTTCTTTTATTAATGAATAACTGAGATACTTAAAAAGTTTAATGAAATAATCTACTAGCAAAAAAGAACAATGTATTTTCATTATTTGTATGTGACAATGTTCAGTGAAGAAATTTACAGGTGATTTTATAAAGGATTTTTTTAAAATGATAGCTTATATAGCCTACTTTGCATTTATAAACTTCTGTACTTATTTCAATTGACTGTCAGTGTGCTTGTGTAGTAAAAATCAACCGTTGTTAATTAAGTAGGTTCTATAAATCCAATATAATTTTCAAATGACAATAAGCGTTATATGAGTGACAGAAAGTCTTCAATACATGTTTTAAGATAAGCGATTTATGAATTAGACGCAATTTAATAGATTATTGCTTTTTAACTAATAGCATTAATAAGTTACAAGGTATATAAACAGCGTCTGATAGAGGGAGATGAAAGTATAAAAATTAAAGATATATAAGTTTATTGTAAATATAATAAGGTAAATACAGTTGAACAGGCTATTAGAAAAACTGACATTATTTCTACTAATACAGTTAATTATTAAGAACACCCTGCAGAATTAAAGGAGATTCTCGATTTAATTGATTTCTTAGTATTTGTTGCTCTTGTTTCAAACACCAGCAGATTCTATAATGAAGTTCGTCATTAAAATATGTGTATCCGGTCTCTTCACATAGAAATGTAACTTTATCCATACACATAGGACATACATGATTCCAATAATGTTGTCCTGTTTCTTCGCAAACTAGACATCTTTGCTTCATAGACTTATTTGCATTTGAGCAAGTATTGCACTTATCTCTGCAAATACCTATGTTGGTGTGTCTTAAAACATGATTACACTTTTGACACTTTAAACCCTCAACATTGTTATAGGTTTGTGGTTTAGGTGCCTCAATTTCTACAGGATTTAATTTTCTGCAACCATTACACAACCCAGTGAAACAATTAAATTCTTCTGTAAACCACGCTCTCCAACAGTTATAACACACCCTAGCATCATTTCTTCTAAATGGAAACACGAGAATTTTAGTTTTCCTGTCCCAATTCTTTGGAAACGGCATTGTTAGTAACTGGCGCCTTGTTCACAGGTACAGTGTAAATATACAGTTGAAGCTAAAAATAAAAATCGGTTAAGCATCTAACCGGTTCATAAGAACTGGTTAAACAAGTTAAACCGGATTTCAAAAACTTGTCCACAAATGCTGGGAATTTTTTAAAAGTTAATAGTCATAGAATCATTTAAACAAGTTAAACTGGTTAAACCGGATTTCAAAAACTTGTTTCCTGTATATATTAAGCTACAGTTCACAAGCGCTCAGAATTATTTAAAAGTTAGTAAGTCAACAGTAAGTGCTCATTCTAAAATGTATTGTCTAGCGTGTAACAAGAAGTTCTCTTCCAAATATAATTTGGCTCGTCATCTTAGAGAAAGTTGTTCATACCGCAATAATGAAAGCTCTCCTCTTAAGAAAATAAAAATGGATTGTCCACAAGCCACAAATATATCCAGTACTTCATCTGTTCCAGTTACTGATAAAAATGATGCAAATTCTTCTTTAGTTGGATGTCCAATATGTGGAGAACTTGTACCAAAACGAATTTTTGTGGGACATATGAGACGTAACTCACACAAAGTTGTTATGTCACCGGTGGATGAAGGCATTGAACAATTGCATAATCCCATGAAGTTTAGAATAGCTAGTTATCGTTTCTCGAGTCAACACCACCACATCGATCCTTCAGAATTTTTTATGGAAATGTACCCAAAGGTAGTTGCTGTTATATCTGAATATCTTACAAAATGGTGTGCTTTAAAAATAAATTTCGAATTATTTTCTTCGTATATTATTCCTGGCAAAGAAATGTCTGATCTCAAGTCTTTCAACACAGAAAATCAGATTGTAACTATTTCCTCTGATTTATCGAAAATTTATGAAGATTTTATTAAGGACATAATAGAAAAAATGGCTAAATTCCTTGAACGTGATTCCGGCTGGAGTCTGCAACAAATTTTATTCCTAGAAGTTAATATTAACAAATATAATCCACTAAGAGCATCTTCGTTCATCAAACTTCCCAAGGAAATTGAACTCAAGAGAGCTGTCGTGAATATAGTTAATGAAGACAACGAGTGTTTTGCCTGGGCTGTGAATGCTGCTTTATTTCCTACATCTATTAATTCAAGCCAAATTTCGTCGTATCCACATCATTCCACGGCACTAAATTTTGAAGGTTTGGAATTTCCTATTAAGCTTCAAGATATTCCTAAGTTTGAAGCATTAAATAACATTACACATTAACATAACGTTAATGTGTTTGGTATAAGTAATCAATTTAAAGAAGGCCGTATTAAACACGAAATTGTTGGACCATATTATTTTACCAAATTTCGTTAAAATATTCACGTAAATCTTTTATTTATTACTGGTGATAGTGGAAATAGTCATTATTGTTATATTAAAAACTTAAACGTCAGAACGTTTAAAATTACATCAAACTAATGATTGTAATTTTATTTGTACAAAATTACCAACCACCGATATTAAGTTAATAAATATGGAAAAGCACTTCCTGAAAATTTACTTAAATTTACGAATTTTGAGAAACAACTTACTGTCCCTTTTTTAATATATGCAGATTTTGAGAGTGTTTTAAAACCAATTCAAAATGCACAACCGTCCGATGAATCTTCATTTTCTATAAAAACCTATGAGCATGTACCTTATTCGTTTTGTTTTTACGTAAAGTGTAATTTTGACGACAGGTTTTCAGAATTAGTACAATATCGCGGTTTAAACGCACCAGAAATTTTTATACAAAAACTCGAGGAAGTTATAAATAAACTTTATAACGAACATTTAAAAAATATTCAACCTATGTTAGCACTTTCCCAATATGAACAAGAAATATTTGATTCTAGTCAATATTGTCATATTTGTGATAAACCCTTTGAAGACTCCTGTGTCAAGGTCAAAGATCACTGTCATTTGACAGGAATGTTTCGCGGCGCCTCCCATGTTATTTGTAATTTAAATTACAAGTTACCTAATTTTATACCGGTAATTCTTCACAATCTCACAAATTATGACTGTCATCTTTTTATAAAAAAACTAGCTCTAAACCAGGAGAAAATCAACGTCATTGCACAAAATAAAGAAAAATATATATCATTTTCGAAACATGTTTTTGTTGAGAATAATGCTCAAGGGAAAGATATATATATTAAACTGAAATTTTTAGATTCCTTTCGCTTTTTACCTTCATCTTTAGACAAATTAAGTCAAACACTTGAATCTTTTCAATGTGTAGAAATAAAAAAATATTTTCCCAATCAACACAAATTTGAGTTAATACGTCGAAAAGGTGTTTTCCCATACACATATGTAGATTGCATTTCAAGGTTTGATGATACAGAGTTGCCTCCAAAAGAAAAATTTTTTGATATCTTACGGGGTGATAATATTTCTGATGATGACTATAGTCGAGCGGTAGATGTATGGAACACCTTTGATTGCCAAACTCTTGGTGAGTATTCCGATACTTACTTAATTTCTGACGTATTATTACTAGCAGATATTTTTGAAAATTTCCGTAAAATTTCTTTACAAAATTATAACTTAGATCCGGCTCAGTATTTGACTGCACCTTCTCTTAGTTGGGATGCCATGTTGCGAAAGACTGGTGTTACCCTAGAACTGCTTACAGATATTGATATGCTTCATTTCTTCCGGAAGGGGATACGTGGAGGTGTAAGCCAGTGTAGCAATAGAAAAGCTGTTGCTAATAACACCTTTGTTCGCGATTATGATCCTACAAAACCTAACTCTTTTATAATTTATCTAGATGCTACAAATCTCTATGGTTGGGCTATGTCTCAAAGTCTTCCAATGGGTAACTTTCGCTGGCTTGATAGTAATGAAATTTTAAATTTTGATCCTTTACTCATAGACGATGATTATATGAAAGGTTACGTATTAGAAGTCGATATCGAATATCCCGAATGCTTACATGATGTTCATAATGATTTACCATTTTGTCCAGAAAATTTTGTACCTCCCAATAGTAAACACTCAAAACTCCTTCTATCTCTTCATAACAAAAATAATTATATAATTCATTATAGAAATTTAAAGCAGTGTATAATGCAAGGATTAAAGGTAAATAAAATTCACAAAATTTTAGAATTTTCGCAACACCCCTGGCTAAAACCATACATAGACTTGAATACACAATTACGAAATTCATCAAAAAATGCATTTGAAAGGGATCTATTTAAATTTTACATAAACTCCATATATGGAAAAACTATGGAAAATCTAGACAAAAGGGTTGATATTAAACTTTTATCGCACTGGGAAAACATTCACCATAAAAAAGGGGCTGAAAGTTTTGTAAGCATGCCTAATTTTAAATCTCTATCTATTTTTTCAGAAAATTTAGTTGCCGTCCAAATGGGACATTTATCTATTTATTATAATAAACCTCTATATGTAGGATTCTCCATTCTTGATATTTCAAAAACCATTATATATGACTTTTTTTACAACTTTATTAAAAAAACCTATGGAGAGAAGGCATCTCTTTGTTACACTGATACGGATTCTCTAATTATTGAAATTCAGACAGATAACATTTATAATGATATTAAAAATAAT